GTACCTCTTTGTGTTGTTTTGTCATTTGTTGCCCATGAGTTCTCTCCTTGAACATTCCATGTGCCTTGAAAGCCTTTGTGCCTGTGCGTCGGTAGTTTTCTGTCACTATAACAAATACCTGAAATAATGAACTTAAAAGGAGAAATGTGTTTTTTTTTTTTCTTCTGCTCACAGTTTTGCATGTCTATGATTAACTGACCCCATTGCTTTCAGGTCTGGCAACACATGGAGTGAGTATGTGGCAGAACAAAGTTACTTACTTCATGGCCAAGGAACATAAAGACAGAGACAGGCATCTCACAGTCCCCATCCAGGGTACATCCCCAGTGACCTGATGGTCTTCTGCCAGACCCTAGTTCTCAATGTTTCCATTATGTGTTAATAGTGCTGACCCAGGTTAAAAGCCTTTGGGTGACATTTCAGAGCCACATTAGCTAGCAGCTTGTGGAACAGTGTCTTGGAAATTCATCTCTAGATGAGCATTCATGTTGAAGGTGATCACATGTGGTTTCCTCAGAGCCTAAAGTTGGCAATCAAGGTTTTGTTGTATTGTGATAATTTCAAAAGTATAGAGTTACTGGGTACAAATTTTAAAAGAACAACTGCTCAAAGTAAAGATTTTCGATTTAGGCTAATTTAGTTGCCGTTAGCTTCCTTTTCTAACAATAGATAATCACTTCATTAAAGACACTGCTGACTAATCATAATAAAATTCTCATTGACGGGGTTGGGTACATAACTCAGTGGTAAACACCTGCTTAGCATTTGCTTGGGGCCTGGGTTAAATACCCATCATCAAAATAAAAAAAGTTATGGACCTGGAGAGATGGTTCAGCAGTCAAGAGCACTGGTTGGTCTTGTAGAGGACCCAGGTTCAGTTCCAGCACCCACATGGTGTCTAACAGTGTGTAGTAACTCCAGTTCAGTTGGAGCTCCAGAAGATCCAACATCCTTTTCTTGCCTCCTTGGATAGTGCATGCAGGCAAAACAATAATACGTACAAAATAAAAAATAAATTTAAAAATTATTTTAAAGTCATCAATAAATAGAGAGGATTCTCACATTTTTATAAAATAGTAATATTTATATTGTCCAAATCTAGTTTTATATCATTAAGATATAAGTTAAAAAGGAAGAAATGGCCTCAGTGATTTGTAAGAGAAATAAAGAATCTGTATTGGAAAAGTTTAATTACTGAATCCAGCCACATGAGAAATCCTTGGGTGGTGACATATACCAGAATGAATCTTTAATTTCTGGAGCACTGGCAAGATGGTTCAACAGATAAAGGCACTTGTTGCCAAGGTTGATGACTTGAGTTGAATGTCCAGAGCCCATGTTAAAGATGGAAGAACTAACTACCTTCCTGTAAGTTGTCCCCTGACCTCCACAAATGTTTAGTGGCCTGCGCACTCCAGCAAATTCATTCTCTCTCTCTCTCTCTCTCTCTCTCTCTCTCTCTCTCTCAAAATGTAAAATCTACTTAAAAATCTTTTTTTGCTTGGTGTGATGGCCCATGCCTTTAATCTCAGCAGAGGCAGGTAAATCTCTGTGAATTCAAGGCCAGCCTGGTCTACTTAGTAAGTTCCAGACCAGCTGGGGCTGCAGGGAGACTACCTTTAATCCCAGCACTTAGGAGGCAGAGGCAGATGGATCTTTGTGAATTTGAATCCACCCTGGTCTACATAGTGAGTTCCAGGCCTGTTGGGGCTACAGGGAGACCCTGTCTCAAAAAGACAAAAAGAAAAAAAAAATCATCTTTTTATTGCAGTGTTTTCCTTCCCTTTTTTGTATATATGTATGGTGCGTGTTTATATGCATATGATGTGTATACGTGTATATGTGTGCATATTTGTGTGTGTCTGAGTTTGAGCGTGTTTATGCTGTAGTGCGCTTGACGGTAGGACAACCGGGTGTCACTCCTTGACTTCCACCTGTTTGAGACAGGGTGTCTGTTTTAGGCTAGCTGACCTCTTGCCTTCTGGGGATTCTCCCGTCTCTGCCTCCCAACTTGCAATAGGAGCATTGGAGTTATAGATGCCCAGCATTACATGGGTTTGGGGATTCAAACTTCAGTCCTCAAGCTTGCTCTGCAAGTGTTTTACTGAGCCATCTGCCTAGCCCTCCTTTTTTCTTTTTTTCTTTTTTTAGGGACAGGGTCTTGCTGTGTACCCCAGGTTGGAATGAAACTTGTCGTCCTCCTTCCTCAGCCTCCTGAGTGCTGAGATTATAGATGTGTGCCTCTAAACCCAGTCCACAGAGTTTTCAAATGTACTTTACTCAAATGTTTACCAGTAGTTGAACTGTATTTGGTGTTTCCTAAGAAATTTATCCAAATCAAATATTTTCATGTACATACTATTTTATATAGGTGCCCCTGTGACAAAGTACTAATGGCATTTAGTAGAGGTTCTCATGAATTCATGGTGCTTCTGTTCTTGTTTACTTTATTATTATTATTATTATTATTATCACAATGTTTGGGGCCCAAAGAATTCCCTGAATTGACTGTTCGGACACTGAGACTCAGGAAAACTTATCTTCTGTGTTGAGTCTGACTGGCTGGGGATGCAGGCAGGCTTGGGAGCTGCACTGTGACCCAGAGCTGTGGAAATGGAGGGCTTTTAAACATAAAAACTGCAGAGCAGGGGATTTCTATAGAAACCATAAACAGAAGAACCAGGAAAGGGATTTGAACAATCTAGGGCTGATTTCCAGAGCCTTAACCTATACAGCCATTGGCTAACTTACCTGGGGCAGAACTTCCTCTCCTGCCCCAGACCATTTCCATAGAAACCATAAACAAATGTACCAGGAAAGAGTTTGAACAATGGAGGGGATTTCCAGAGTCAGGCAGAGGGCAGCTCTTTCTCAGAGGATGGGGAGGGGGTCTGAGAGGCACTCTCCTTCATTTGGTCTTTTTGAGACAGGGTCTCCCTCCAGCCCCAGCTGGCCTAGAATTCACAGAGACAAGATGCCTCTGTCTCCAGAGTGCTGGGATTAATGGTGTGTGCCACCACACGTGGCCTTTTATTATTAAAAAAAATATTTTTATTATTTTTATGTGTATGAGTCTATGACTTGCATGTGTGTAAGGGCACCCATGTTGTGCAAATGTCTGTGGAGGTCAGAAGAAGGCGTTGGATCCCCTGGAGTTATGGATGATTGTTAGTGAGTGCCGGAAATCGAACCTGAGTCCTTTGTAAGAGCAGTCAGTGCTCTTTGTAGCTGCTGGGGTTAAAGGCGTGCACTACCACTCCTGGCCTGCAGCCAGTGCTCTTAACTGCTGAGCCATTCCTCCAGTCCCAGTTGTTACTTATTTTTATCAATAACATGATAAAATCACCACAATTGTTACATTGTAGCCTACAGACGTTAAAAAAAAATATTTTATTGGGGCTGGAGAGATGGCTCAGCGGCTAAGAACACTTACTGTTCTTGCAGAAGACCCCAGTTTGAATCCCAGCACCACATGGCAGCTAACAACTGTCCGTAACTCCAGTCCCAGGGGATCTGACGTCCTCTTCTGATTGCTGCGGGCATTGCACCACACGGGTGCACTTACCTACATGCAGGCAATACACGCAAACACATAAAATAAATAATAAATAAATAAATAAAAATAAAAAAAATTTAATTATTTTTATGTGTATGCGTGTATTGCCTGCAATGCAGGCGGAGGACAGAAGAGGCTGTTGGATCCCCTGGAACTGGAGTTACTGACAGTTATTAGCTGCCATGTGGGTTCTGGGATTCAAACTGGGGTCTTCTGCAAGAACAGTCAGTGTTCTTAACCACTGAGCCATCTCTCCAGCCCCGCCTACAGAAATTTTACCCTTCTAAAGAATTCCTTATGCTTCAGGGTGTGGGAACTTCTGGATAAATCATCTCAGCAGACTTTTCTTGGCCCTAGTTCTCAGAAAGACAACTGTGGCTTATGTAAGGACAGTCTTTGTGTAAGAACAGTGTTTAAAGTATACTCCAGTGACTTGTGAGATCCCCAGAGCTTTGCAGGTGGAGTCCTTTCTTTCCTACATGCCCTAGGGGTTCTGTTCATCTTTTTCCAACATTGGTTGTGTAATCTGTTTTTCTCTGCCAGTAAACCCTCATTGAAACAGGCTGCAGGTGTCTCAGCTTTTCCTTTCTTTTTACCCTAGTGACAACAGAGTGAAATGAAGGAATAAAGATAATTTTAGAATTTTACTAAATAAAAGTAAGAGGTTTTCCTGACTTTTATTGAAAAATAAATAAGAAAAGCTGTTTTCTAGTATTTAATCGATAAGGGCGGTAGACTCAAGTGATGTCAAGGCTCTTCCAACTTAGTATGTTTAATTTTTTGGTGAGAGACCACTGATTTTCATTTTTATTTTATTCATTTATTTACTTATTTATTAATTATTTTTGGTCCTTTTGAGACAGGGTCTCCCTGTAGCCCAGCTGCCCTTAAGCTCACTATGTAGACCAGGCTAGCCTTGAACTCAGAGATCTGCTTGCCTCTGCCTCCTGCTGGGATTAAAGGTGGCCTTCATTTTCATTTTTAAAAATGACTTATTGTGAGAAATACCTACTCATAATCCCCCCCACCCCCAGTCAGTGGACTCTGAAGATAATTACTATTCGTTTTAGTCAATGGGAGGAGAAATTCTAGTTATTGCCTTCAATTTCTTTGCTCTGTCCTTTCCAGGAAAAGCTTACTCATTAACAACCAATAATAAACTTCTAGTAATAGAAGTCAGCTTTGGGATATTCTGATACATAACTGTCCCATTGGTGTGACATATTTCTCAAGGACGTCTACTATAATGTCTTTTAAAAAAATATTTTATTATTTTTATTTCATGTGTATGGATGTATTGCCTGCATGTATGTGAGTGCACCCGTGTCGTGCAATGCCGTGGAGGTCGGAAGAGGGCTTTGGATTCTCCTGGAACTGGAGTTAAGGACGGTTCATAGCCACCATGTGGGTGCTGGGAATCGAACCCAGGTCCTCTGCAAGGGCA